TGGAGAAATTTCCTCTGTATGCTAGGCTGCACTAGATTTATACTTTTCTTCTAGAGTTGGAAATAAACTCTACAGAGAATTCTGCACTTTATTATTATCATGAATTATTCACTTTCTATGATGCTCAAATAACATCAGAAAATTTGAAGGTACTATTTGTATCTCTGGTGGCTATTTGTTTAAGTAAGCTAAAGGAAGAGCAAGAAATTTAATGAATTTTTGTACTTTGTGCATACAAGAGGTTTTATTTCACTTAAACAAAAGTTTAAGCTGCTCATTTATTGCTTGCATTATAGTGTTTCAAGTGTGTGGTATGTTATCAAGCATATTCATGGTCATTTCCTTGGCATTTATGCACTCTTACTTAAAAATATTTTAATTAGAGAGCTTAATTGCCATTAAAGTGATAATAGGATAAAGGTAAGTTTTACAATGATAATTTTTTTTTAAAAAAGACACATAGCCCTTTATGAAGGTTTAAATGCCATTGGAATATAAAGCAAGAAATATATGCTTGTCAAATATACAGTATAAATAAATAATTTAGATGAAAATGGTTGATACATTTAACAAAGACTCTACCAAATAATGAAGGGCTAAAGAGTGGTTGTTAGATTTGATGTACTTCATTGTATATTGTAAGTAATTGCTATCCATAAAAATTCTATGGCTTCTGTATAAGAAAAAGAGACATTTTGACAGGCAACACTGGATGCAGTGACAGCAAGCACAAATCCCTGGCAACTGTCATTATCCTGCTGTTGAATTCACATCTAAACTCTGTGATAAGTTAGACCTGCATATTTGTTATTGAGCCACGGTCTGTCAAAGTAGCCACACTTCTCACTTATGAATAGAATTATTAGCCACATGCAGATTTACTCTATAGAAATCTAAATTTGCCAAGGAAGCTTTGTGTTTCAAAGGGGAAGGAGAGAAAAAAAAACCTCCCTGTCATTTTATGCTTATGATAACATTTCCCTTGAAATGGTTTTGACTAAATGAAACTTGGATTTTTAGTAAATAACAGAATGATTTATACTTTATTCTTTAATTAATTCAATAATAGTAAAATTTTTAATAAAACTAAAACCAAAGGAAGTATAATTCGTATGATTACCTGTGTGCTGCATTAAGTTTGCTTTGCGTTAGTGTACTTTCCTTTATGAAGGTGGTAGAAATCCAAGGAGATAATTAGAGAAAGTTCAGCTGAAAGTGACTTTTAAAATGAGAAAGTTTTTATCTCACTGGAGAACTTCCCAGAGTAAGTATAGTGCTAACTTTAGTGGTTCAGTGGTTATAAAAACGACAAATTCTTCATGCCTTTCCCTTGAAATCCTCAGATCACGGACTTGCTTGTCCTCTCCTGCTTGCCAGAATGATCAACACACGTTCCCTCAGCAGGATCTAAAAGAAAAGGGACATTTGGATGACCAAGGTTCACCTAACAAAAAGAACTTTGCCTAGAAGGCATCTCATGTCTCATTGACTAAAAATTATATAAAATCAGATTATTTAACCTGCAGGGATAAGGGAAATAGAATTTTCTTGCTGACTCTAGTCCATGGGGCGTTTGCGTATTGAGACTAATCAGAGGACATCTTCTCTAGGAGGCAGAGTTCCCCAGTGTGCCCAAAGTTTGGTGTCTAAGGAAAATCAAAGGAATAATGGTTAGTTCAATAACCAACATTGTCTGATGTAATTTTTGACTTGAACTTTCCAATATTTTGTTTCTTAAATTATTTTTTGTTAAGTAGCGTTATGTGATACATTTTACACAGTACCATGGTTGACCAAGAATAATTTCAACACACAAGTCACTGCTTGATTTCCCTTGAAAGTGGAAAAGATACAAAAGCAGAGGCTTTTACTCCTTTATGGATAGAGAAAAATCACCTCAAACCACATAATTAGCAAACACGACAGTATATAAATTCTTGCACCCCACCCCTTCTTCCCTCAGTATTCAAGATCAACGCAGAACTTTAAACCTGCAGTCAAGTGCTTTACTCTGAGCTGTACCAACAATTTTAAGTTATTTCTTTCTAATTTTTTTTATTTATTTTTAACCTACTGAGTCCAATTAGTGATGCCCTTATGCACAGGAGTGTGGGAAATCCACTGGGGCGGGGGCAACCTGCCAGTAGCCACCACCCTAAAGAAGAGTGGTTGCTTCTCTCCAAAGGCTTAGAAAATGAGTGAGTGGAAGGAATACAAGGGTCAGAGGGTAGGGAGGAGTGCCGTGAATCACCGTCTTCTGAATATGAGGTGGCTTTTGTGCACATGAACTCAGTAACTCCGGTCGCCTGCACAAGAGCTGTTATTAAAGCCTATTAAAATGCTAACCTTTGGAACTGGAGAGACGGCTCCGTTCAGAACATAGACACTCTTCCAGAGGATATAAACTGAGTTTCCAGCACCTGCGTCAGGCAACTTACAGCCCCATGTGTGGCAGTTGGGTGTCACATCCCTTCATGAAGCTTCTATGCACCTAATCCATGACTTTCCTCCTCAGTTACCAGGGCGTTTTCTTTGCAGTCAATAACAATTACAATTGTAAATGTATATGTATGAGTATTAGTTTAAACATTTTGTTCTCCAATTACATAATTATTTTAATGGGAATGACTGTAAAAAAAAAAGTAAGTCCTGAATTCAGATTAACACTGAACCCTTCTTGAAGGAAGTACAATCATGGTTATAGATTACCTGGATGAATGCCATTGATTTAAAGATCTCCAGATTAGAGATATAAAAGGTCCTGCATTGCAATGACGGCTGAGGGATTTAGAGGATGGCATGAAAGTACTTGGGGTAGAAATCCATAACTATGAGACTAAAAGTATATCATTAGTTTTCCTAAAATTGCTATAATCATGAATGTTATTAAAATAAAAACAATGAGAAGAAAAACCATTCTTATCAAGTATTGTTTCTCTGCCTTTAGATAGAAATCTTTAGGGAAAAATCAAGTCATAAATAAATATATTACTAACCCACTTATTAAATGTAATTGTGTTTTATCATTTACCAAGTCATTTAATTATTTAATTTACTGGGTTTTTTTACCATACTAGAATCATAATTAGACGAAAATAATTTTAGTACATAATCCCCCAAAGATGCAGTTGAGATGGCCGTTCTTGTTTGTCAGCCTGACAACATCTGGAGTTAACTAAAACCCTAATGTCTGTGCACACCTGTGAGAGATTTTTTCTCAATTAAATAATGTGAAGTGAGAAGACCCACTTCTAATCCAGATCATTGAGGTGGGGAGTTACAGCTTTAATCCAGAACTTTTGAGGTGGGAAGATCTACCTTTAATCTGGGCCACATCTTCTGCTGACAGCCTATATAAAAAGAATATCGAAAAAAGGAAACTTGCTCTCTCTTTGCCTGCTTGCCCACACTCTCACAAGTGAGTCCATTCCTCCACTGGCGTTAGGGCCTACTTCATGGGAATTATGGCATATATTGCAGACCCGCTGAGACAGCTAGCCTTGTGAACTGAATAACTTGTAGATTCTTGGCACTTCCATTGGCGGACAGTGATTGTTGGACAAGCTGGAACACAGCCTGTAAGCCATTCTAATAAATCCCACATATATATGAATATATATAGTATATATATAAACATGAATACACATGTGACATATATACACATGTATACATATAAGTTATCATGTATGTGTGTATATATGTCACATGTATATATGTATGAGAACCTTGACTAATACTAGTGTCATTCTAGAAGAACAGAGAGACCAACTTGGTAGATGTTTGAGTAGCTCCAGTTAGAGGTGTGTGAGACCTGTGTAAGACTATAGATACCTTCTATGCCTCATCCTCTCGCTGATGGGTGTTCTCAAGTATGCCACACTTGTCCAATCTGATTAAACCATCAAACCCATACCTGCCTCACCTCTGTGACTTGCTATTACATATCATCCCCGGTCATATGGTCCTGTGTCTACACATTCCTGTTCTTCTCAATGCCATTCACTCATTCACCTTGAATTCTGGGGCGTGGGTGACTACCTGTCCTAGTTTCTCTGAGACATGTGACTTTCAACTCCTAGGTAAACTGAGATGAGTGAGTCATCCCAATACCAGCTCAATCACCTTCCTTTTTTTTAAAAAAAAAAAAATTTTTTCAGGGCGGTAGTGGCACACGCCTTTAATCCCAGCTCTTAGGAGGTAAAAGCAGGAGGATTTCTGTGGGTTCAAGGCCAGCCTGGTCTACAAGAACTAGTTCCAGGACAGGCTCTAAAGCTACAGAGAAACCCTGTCTCAAAAAAAAACAACAAAAAATGATTCTTTTATGTATGAGTGTTTTGTATGTTTGCATGTCTGTGCATCGTGCAGAGGTCAGAAGAGAGCATCTTCTGGAACTGGATGACAGATGGTTGTAGCCACCATGTTGGTGCAGGTCCTCTAGAAGAGCAGCCAGCACTCTCTGAGCCACCTCTGCAGTTCATATCCATCATGTTCTCACTAGTGCTGAGCCACCTCTCTTAAATCGCTTTTGTCCATTTAAATATACATTCATATATTCATTTAAAAATATATCCACTACTGAGGGATAGCTTGCAAGTTTCATGCATGTAGGGACCACATCTCTTTAATTATTTCCTAGTACTTAGATTTCTCATGTTTAATAAAGTAAATCATAAAATTACAAATTATCATTTTAAAGCCTTATACAGATTTCTTTAGTTCAAATAAAAAAAACAGTTAAGCTCAGTGGCAGGATAGGCTTTGATCCAAGCTCCTACCCTGCCTCTGCTAATGATGCATATGTTTACTTAACCTTTCTGATTTTCAACCTTTGTGTAAAGGGAAGCTCCAAATACTGCCTTCCCACCAGGACTGTACAAGCCTCAAAGTCCTGACCGAGTACCTTTGTCTAACCGATAGCTCACGGCATTTATTGCATGGTAGATGTTAATAAAGTCAATACAATGGATTCACTGTCCTCTTCCACGCGCTGTTTCTTTAAGGCAGTTCATGTCAAGCCAGGCAAAAGCTGTTATTAAAACTACTGACGATTGCGTGCAGCTTCAGTTTGGCCCCAGCAGACTTCTGCATTCAGTGGCTGTATCACAAGGGTCAGGCCTTCAAGATTGTTCTACACATCAAACAGCATCAGATCACAGCCAGGAGGAACCATCAAACCCAGATAGCTGCAAATCCAAGAGTAAAAACAATTCTTGTTTTATGTCGGCATCCAAGAGAAACAGGCTTGTCAGTGTGCCAGTGGGTCAGCCGAGGTAATCAAAACCGTTCGCTCTTCTTTTTAACCAACTGTTGAGGCTCTTTTATTTGAGCAGAATTTATAGTGATTCCATTGACTATTTCAGACATTAAAACATTGTGTATCATTTGGATTCTGTTTTCTGCTATTATTGGATTTTTCCTTTGAACACCCTGAAGTCAGAGTGTGGCTAATTACATCTTAGAGAAAACGAGATGCACTCCAACCTGGGTCATCAAAAACTGAAGGGAATGCTGGAGGTAGAGGCATTGCTTAGAAGACATTTATTTTAAATAGAAACGTGTGCTTTGGGTCTTTAACCAATATTTTGGAGCAGAATCAGACAGAATGTAGTTATTAAACCATCTTGTGCATACATTTGCGGAGTGTCATAAACTGTTAGCCCAAGAGGAAAATATGGCGAAGATGAGAACTCAGACACCAAGGGAGATTTCCATTGCAGTCAGGGTTTTGAATATACAGATATATTGTGGTTTTAATTTACTTAAAGTTCTTGTTTTTAAATGTTGACTTTACTACTCTTTAAATGAAAATGATTAGAAGATTCTGAATGAAATATTTTTGGCAGCTTACCATGCACTTTTGAAAAAAAACTAAACTAGTTTTGACTAAAGATAAAAACCTAGAAATCTCAACTCTTATTGCCCCCCCATTTGAAATGTAAAAATATAGGCAATAAAGTGAACTTTTGAATTCACATTTTCAGCATAATAAACCTATTTGAATTTCTTCCAGCTTTTAAAAATGAAAGAACTTTCTTTCATAAGTGTAGACACTTGTGGAAAAATCTTAGCCCTTTAATATCCCATGCTATTAAGCCTCTACTATTGTCTTAGCTGTCAGAACATGGCAGGTGTCTGACTGGCTCTAATTCTTCATGTACATAATCTAAAAAAGAATGCTCTGGGTTTTACTAGTAAATGGTCAGAATGATTCATTCTGGGAGAGTAACAGTCTTGGCAAACATCCTATTGTGTGTTTGGATACTGAAACAGTGTTGATCTCGTTGTATCAAAAGTTTTGTTGTGGGATCTTCTTATTTGTAGGAACAATTTTAAATGATTATACTAGAGAACCGTGGGACAGCATTTTTAAAAGGTTTTAACTTATTAACATGCACGAAGTTTTGTGGATTTTTTCTTCTTTTAGTGCATCAGAGTCCTCTCTAAAATTGATGTCACCCCATAATTGCCAAGGATTGTCTCAGAGATATAAACTTCAACCACGAGTCATTAGAGTGACGGCTTATAAAAATGGATCTGGAACAGCCTTTGCCAACATTATTGCACCAACCATCGCCTTGGTAACTAATAGCCCAACGTTTTCAGTCCTTTATTTCCTTTATAATACAAACATATAAGAAAGACAATTATTGTGTTAAAATCTTGTGTAATTCTGAACCTGTCCATTGCTTATATAGTCATAGGAATTTTACTACTTTCCTACGTTAAAGTAAATAGAACACTGTATTAACAATTAAGCAGATTAATTAAACAAGTACAATGGCTATGCGCTTTGTAGTTATTAAGACACAGAATGTTTATAAAAATATTTATAAATACAAATAATGAGCTATTTTTGCCATTTGATTTGGTTTTTGTTTCTGCATTTTCAATGCTGGGAAACAGCCATGTCATTGACTGAGCTCCTGAACCTGACGTGTGACTCCCTTGACCCCCTGGTTTGGTTCTGTGGGAATGTGCTGCTTTCTTTGTAGATCACTGGGTTCCACCTGTTACTCTCTTCTAGGTGCTGGAAGCGTGCACACACAAGCTGAATCTGAACATGGCCGCACGACGAGTGTTTTTGGCAGACGGCACGGAAGCCCTCAAACCTGAAGATATTCCCCATGAATCCAACGTTTATGTTTCAGCAGAAAAGCCCTTTGTAAATCCATTCAAAAAAATTAAAGGTAAAAAAGGAAAAAGAAACACCATACTCCTTCACAATAAATTGCTTAAGGAGTGCAATTAAAAAATGATTTTCTTCCTGTCTTTTTTGCATGGTTTAACAAAACTAATGTTTACGCATTTACAGCTCAGTAAGAGGATAATGTGCTTAATGAAAGAAAAATCCACTGACAGCCACGTTTATTGCCCTTCATTAGCATTGGTGCTTAATTTAATATAGATCTGAATAGACATTAGGGAGCCTGCAGGAGGCTAAATGATGAAAATATAATAAATTAAATCAGAGATTATTGAATTTACTGTTTAGTTTCTGTGGCACTCAGCAGACATAATTCATTAGATGGATGCTCTCAGAAAATAGTTGAGAGTTCCCAGGATCATCTTTTCATTTACGCTCTTGGTCTTTTTTCAGATTGCATTAACATAATTAAGAAATTGTGACAAGTAACGAACAAATAATTCTATGTACATGTGATTCTCCCAGTAACATTACTCATAAAATAAACATTACAGCTCAATCTTAATTTTTAACCTTTAAATATTTATATTTATGTATTTATACATAGAATCTCAGATAGAGTTTCTGCTTGGAGGTTTTTTATTTTTCCCCATGTCCTTATATTTAAGATTTCAGACATGAGGATTTTCTAGGGGGAAAAAGCCTTTTCTCGATGTAAACTGACACCTTTAAAGAAAGGAAGGAAAGCAGCGGTGTCTTCATTCTTCCACACATGCTGTACGGAGCCTCCTTATCCTCTGTTCCTCACCATGGTAGCTTCAGGTAACGTGAGAGACAGCCTCACCATAGGAACCAGCGTGTCTGCCTGCTATGCCCCCAATGCTTTTGATACCACATTGGCGGCAATTTCTCTGCCACTCTTGTAAAGTTGGTGGAGCAAAGACAAGCCTAGGCAGTAACTGTAGGAGCCAAAGAAAACTGATTCTGGAGCTCATTACAGAGGAGACAATGGAGGTCCCCATGCATTAATGTTACTGTATGAGATGACACTAGAATTGCTATCACGTTGGTAACACTTGATCATCAGAAAACAGCAGTTTTTTGAATTGGGACACCATGGCGCCTATCAAGGAAGCTGTTGGGGTAGCACCCACTGCACAGGCCCTGTGCGGTAACTCAGACTCACATGCTTTCAGATTTGCTGTAACGTTAGACAGCGCTTGTCTTATTTTATATTCATAGAAACATTTGCTTACACAAAATGTTTTATTAGGCAAATATGTTTTTGTAATTTTAAAAACTCCATATATTTATACATGATCTCTTCACCAAAATCCTTGATTAGTTTTATAAGGATCAATTCTTGCCTTCTAGTGAACAATAGTATCACAAAAGATACATGTAAAGATTATCTGTAGATAAACTAAGAGAAAAAAAAAATCCTGGGCAAGTATACATAAAATAATAATGTCACATCCTGGTGGATGGTTTTTAAACGTACAAGCTCATTTCTTCTCCCGCCTCCATTTTATCCATTTTAAAAGCCAAGTCCAGAGCAACAAGAACAAAAAACTTCGGTGCTTTGTCTGCACATCTTTGGCTGCGCTTCATTGTGACATGCACTGCTGTTCTCTTACACCAAAATCTTGGCACACGCTCCTGAAAATTTCACACCCTCTCCTGCTGGATCAGCAAGCTTAACCCACCAAAATCTGGTGTTGTGCAATGGTTTTTGACTGATAATCAATCTTTATGCTGCTCGACAGTTGTTACTGGGACATGGAGCAGAGCAGGTGGCAGATGTGTCTTGTCTTTTGAGAGAAGAAATTGTAGGTGAGCTTGGACACAGACTAGCATATCACATGTCTGTTTAAAAGATGTAGGATAAGTATTATGGGGGAAGCCACTATCTAATTATTCTCAGAGATAAGCCTGAACACTGATATTTATTTACTTTCAAAATATGGAGAACATAAATGTAAATACATGTTTGTAGACACACACACACGTGGGGTGGTGCTTAACTTACAGGTATACTGTAACAATAAACCACGTATGGATGACTTTGGAGACAGAAGACAAGCTTAGTGTGGGAGGCGTAAGCGTTGTTGAGGGCAAGCAGGCAAACCACTGAGCAGAGCCAGTGTTAGTGACATGGCCTTCCCATCTGCATGTGCGCTTTAGAGACGGTCAGCATGGAGGCACCAGTCAGTGACCTAACATTATTTCAACTCAGTCTCCTTCTCTCAGCAGCTTCTCGGAGGTTTCTATCTGCCTGCAAGTAAGCAGCCAGGCCAGAGTAGATGAAAGCAAAAGATCATGGTTGTCTACCCGGTTTTTATTTTTAGCCATTCTTTCATCTCTGATTTAAATTCAGTTTACCTCAATTCAATGAAAACTTAACCCAATAAGCATGTTTATTGTGTGCCTACTGTGTGTTTAGGCCTGGCGTAGGGAGAGAGGTCCGGGACTTTGCAGAGCTTAACGAAGTCTGTAAGTCGTAATATGAATACTTAGTAGTAGAAACACAGTCCGACAGTGCATAGCATATGGATTCTCCCAGGAAAAAGTATTTATTACTTTATTTCTCCCACAAGAAGGTCAAATAAGTCAGCATAATACTTTGGCAATTATATTCCATATTTTACTGTTTTTTAAAACTAAACTTTAGAAAATCAGTGTAGATAGTGAAAATTGTCTCTTATGAAAAGTAACCTCAAATTTACTATATAAAAAAAAAAACCCTAGCACGTGTCTGATGGTTTACACTGTTCATTGTCCCTTTGAGTACCATTGCTGACAGCCGGATTCAGTGCCTCTGAAAGACTAAGAAAGCGGTCCACACACCTCAGAATACCGAGTGGTCATTTAGAGGTCAGGCCAAGGTCAAGACTGATTGGAAGTATTCCCTGTTAAAATGTAGAATCAGACTATTTCCTGTATTTTAAATTGACTACCGGATTAGAAAGATTAGGATGGAAGTTTAAAAAAAAAAAAGAAAAGATGGAAATACTGAGAAAAGTGTGTTTTCTATGAAGACTGTTCATGAAGATGTCTTACTAGCTCTTATCATTTCATCATGGAGGGATTCTGACATTTATTAATGATCCTGTCAGAGAGAGGCCTTTGAACAAGTTCTCAGATTCTTGGTTATATTGTTTAGATTTTATTCAGTTTTCCACGGCCTCTGCTTGACGTCAGTAAAGAGAAAACTTCCTGGACCCAGTCCATGTGGTTTTTAAGATACTTAATCTCAGATACTTACTACACGCCGCACCCTGGTAGGACGTAAGTATTATAAAGATGCTGGGGCCAAGTTCTAGTGCTCAGAATCGAATTGCCTTTAAGAGTCTGTAGTCCTGTGTTTGTAGACCTCTTAAATGTGGTACGCTGCTATTTGGCTCTCAGGGTTATCATTTATAGCAATTCCTTTCTGCCCTGAGCTTTGTTAAGGAGAGCGTGGGCTGAGTATTATGGTAAGACTGCACACCCCTATCTGCTGCAAGATGTAGTCATGGGGGAGAATTTCCGTGAGAGGGGTTCTCGGTACTACACCTAAGATCTATATTTAAACCTGGAGATTTTCTGCTAGCTGCCATGTGATCTACCAAATGAAATAATTTGCTGTGACAGCTTGTGATTGACAAGAATATGTGTGAGCACATTTAAAACAGGCCAGCTTTTCATGTAGAAGTAAATGTCAGTGAAATGATGGATTCTCATCATTTTAATTATTGATGATTTGGAAATATTTCAATTCCACGACACACAGGACATATTATAAATAGCAGCATAACACTTTTTCTCATATCTGTGTCAATAATGAAATGTTCTGTCATATTGCATGAGTTTAATGAACCTGGAATCATGCGTTATTGTTTCATTATATGTCTAGTGAGTTTGACTCCAGTGGCTGCTTTATTCTGCCAAAGCTAACTCTAGGCTTTGTGGCATGTGCCTAAAGGGTTACCGTGCCTTGACTCAGAATTAGGCTTGGTTTTCTCATATTCTTTTCATTGTTTTCTCTGAATTAAGTATATACATTAGATGAGATCATTAATTTATTTTATCTCCAACTTAGCTATATTTACTCAAACTAGGAAAAGGGCTTTATAGAAAAACATTCCATTTTGATAACTGTAAAACAATAGTCATATCTTTCACACATTTTTCCCATTTCAACTCTTGAAAATTAGTAAGTATGTATAAATGAATGTGGATTTGAAGTCACTTGCTGAAGACCAAAAAGTACCTGTAGGTGATGGGGAAATTGAAGTATATGTGTTTATGTATGACAGCAACTCACACACTGTCAAATGCAAAGTCATGAGAAACACCTGAATTCTTAGTATTTTTATGAAATACTGAGTTGTGTGTTTATACATAAGTCATACTTCTCTAATAAATAATTGCATGTCTGTTGCTCCCTGCACAATCTGAATGATGGTTTGTGTGTGACAAACACCCAGTTATGAGTATTAAGTATAATACACTCACTACTCTCACACCCGAGTTAGTGCTACAGACCAGAGTATATTATATTCTCTGTGGTTCCAAAATCCAACATTGTGTAAGCCTAATTGTTTCATTACTTATTTGTTATCTGAACCTTATTTAGCATAAACAGTCAAGTGTATTGTTGAAATGTAAACCATTTCTTAGATTATGGGTCCCCACTCTAGGTTTTTCTGAGAAAATTCCATTATATGTCATAAATATACCTTTATGATATAGATATCATGTTAACTTTAAAAACTCTTTCTCTATGTATATATGTGTGTGTGTGTGTGTGTGTGTGTATGTATGTATGTATGTATGTATCAAAGAGATCAATGTCAAGTGTCCGCCTCAGTCACTCTCCACTTTATGTTTTGACACATGATCTCTCACAGAACTATTTGTCTAGACTGGCTGTTCCATGCACCCAAAGAATCCACCTTCAGCTTCCACTCCCCCAGTTCTCGGATTACAAGTGAGCCACCATCCCAGGCTCTTTGCATGGTCACTGGGAATCAAACTCAGGTCCTCATGGTTGCCTGGCAA